CCCAGAACGTCGTGCAAGCCCTCGGCGCCTCCCTGCAGTGTCTAGTGCAAGCGATCGTCATTCCTGCCGCGCGCCTCGCGGCACCCGTTCACTGCGCCTCGCGCTGCTACTCCCGAGCTCCTCCGATCGGCGCTCCTAGTCTCCGTGCATCTCGCGTCTCTCGACTGAGTGAGTCGCGTGTCTGGGCGCCCTCAGCATCACGCTGTCGACTTCCATGCACACTTGCGTGATCGATCGCGAGGTTGCGCTAATCTGGGTCGTCTAGGTCCGTCAGTATTGGTGATCTCTCGGTTGTCCGCACGATCAAAATATAATTTACAAAATTAAATATTCCGATCCTAGACCCACGGATGAGTTTACATGTTTGTCTACAAAAATAATTAAATTTGTCTAGTGTCTCACCGGGTGAAGAATTATTACAAACATTCAACCATATTCCTCGACATTCTCGAGGCTTTAAAAAGCAAGCAACAAGAAATCAAACACATAAGACCATAACAGTAAATTATAGTTATTCCTGCAAAATCGAATTATGCAAATCTAATCTAATTTATGGTGGCGCTTGAACACATGTTGTCACATAAGTCGTAAAATTCAAACTTTGTACAAAGCGAATTAACCGTGGGCTCTGATACCACTTGTTGGGACTGGTGAAGATCCCGTTAAGTACAAGTTACGAATTAAACAATCAATCGTAAATCTATGCCCAACAGATAATAAAGGTTTAAAGTTGAATACTTACGGCTTAAAATTGTAGATTTTTGTTGATGGAGATAAGTTGATTTTCCACTCGTCAAAAATTGCCTCTTTCGGACATCTCGGTGTCTCCGTAACTTCACGCGGGAGGACGGGTCGCGCAGGTGTGCGTGCGGTGCTGTCGAGACTCGAGTATCACCGTGTGCACGTCGCCGGGGCTGAGACCGTGCAGGCGGTGGTGCACGAAAGGTCACTGGGGTCTCGTCAATCTTGGGGACTTCTGTCATATGACACGACACCTCTCCGGTTTCGATGAGCAACAAGCTCGGAGACGATCTCTCGGGGACTAAGACCGGCGGACTTGTGCTTTTATATGCGTGAGTTTAGTTGTGCCCAATCCCAAGAGATACATGGTATAATTTATAAGGCTACAGCAGGGACCCTAAGGAGGTGATGATGTGGGCTTCTTAAGTCTTGGGCCTAACTGTGGGCCAGGCCCACTCCACTTAGTGACTTAAAAATGTTTCAGTCCACTAACAAAACATTATTGCACTCTCTCATCATCCCCGAATTATATTTGAGACTCTAATTATAATTACTAGAATTATCTCCCCACGTTTAAGGTAAAAATATCCATCAATTAATTTGATTATTGACTATCAAGAACTAATCGACATCTTGAACAGAAGCTAGTATCACTCAAATCATTATTATTATATCGGAACTTAATCCACTTGCAGGATTTAACATAATAATCTTTCATGAGCTCACTTCGGGGACATCATCAAACTAACGCACATGGTTACCATAAATATTCTAATAGCACACCATACACACAACACTACTACCCAAAACACTAAGACTATTGACCAATCAGAATGGATCTCGCTTTTGGTGAATCAAAGTAGCAGTTACTGCGTGCACATGCCTATTTATATCTTACGGGTTAAGAGGACACACTAATTAACCGAGGCCTACTTCGTTCACGACGATCAGTATAAAACGAGTTGCTTCTCTCTGGTATCATGTTCAATACATAAATTTACTAGTGCAACTAATCAGTCAAGATCAACTGTATTGTTGATACTACAATCGTTGTGATGGTTTGTTCATTTTCATCTAGGTTGCGAACTAATCATTCTTGTTTCACAAGTAACTGATAAAATGGTCTTATGTCCATCCATGATGAACTATTTTTCTAAATGTCAAGCAACAGAACATAAAACTTGTTTAATCAAACACGATTCTCATTCAACAGAAATAGTGTAAATAACATCCCCAGCCAAATTTTCAGTGTATACACCAACAATGCAACAGGGCTAGAAGAGTTTGGAGTTTATCATCTTTGAGCTGGGAGGGCTTTTCAGCTCCTGAAACCTCCTTCTCTGATTGGTGGTGGAAGATTTTCTCTCTTAGCTTCAAAGAGATCGACAAAGACATGATCTGACTTTCAACGTACTTGCTATGGTGGTTGTGGAAATCCCACAACCTTAGGGTCTTCCAAAAAATGGATCCCTGAGCAATGCCTAGTGAGGCAAGCTTGCAGGGAGTGACAGGAATTCTAGGTTGTTTAGTTGATTATGGCTTGGAGTTGGATTTAGAGAAGATGATTGACAGGAATTCTAGGTTGTTTAGTTGATGATGGCTTGGAGTTGGATTTAGAGAAGATGATTTAGGCTTTTGCAATTTTGTCTTCTCTTTAGTCTTGTTTCCTTTCGGTTGTTTGGTAGGATAGAGGTCTTCGGCTCCTTTGCCGCCTTTAGTTATTGTCTTTGGTTCTAGACGACGCCTATGTGGTCTCCCTGTTCATTGCGTGATTCGTGGTTTTGCCATGTTTGTATTGAAATTATTTATTCTTTGTTGTGGTTTATTTAAGATTCATATCGTTCCCTTAAAAAAAACAAATAATAATAATAATAATAATAAAATCAAATAAAATCGATTAAAATCAGTTGAATTTTTACCCAATCGATCCTTCCGACTTGACGCTAATAGGTTACGCTTTTATTAATAGGATTTGAGATAAATTAATTTTCATTATCAGGACCCGTTCAACTTAACTGTGCCAAGTACGTACACGACTTCTTTCACTCTTGAGCATTTACAGAAAATATTGAGAAATCCAGGCGTACAATATTGTACCTTTCAAAATCCTTCATTACAAAGACACAAATATTTCAACTTTGAAATTTTATTACAACTGGCCACCAAAACTAACTGGACAACACCATGAACCATGGTCTCCTGGTAATCCATCAAAACTCAGAATAGTGAAAGGACCCAAATATACATATATATTCGTGTATGTATATGTATAAANCTATTCTTTATGAATATTAATTGTAAACTTTATAAGTTGATGTAGCAGATCCCAACACACCCGCGCATGTGTCCAAGTAATAATGGCCATAAATGATAAAACACACTCATTGCATTTTATTGCTTATTTGCTCTATGCGGCAGTCAATTGAATAGCTCACAACTTGGTCACACTGTATCAACGATAAGGCAGACAATATTATCATTAAACATTAAACATGACTAGTACAATGCCCGAATAATTGCACGTTAAAAAATAATGGAAAAAATTATTTTAAATCTTAAATATTTTTGAAAAAACTATATTATTATTTATATTTAAAATGACACATCTTACTTGTACGATTTACTTGTCATATATTATAAATATTTTTTAACTTATATCATATAATTACATTTTAGTTAATTAATGTAAATAAATTTATTTTTTTTTCAAATAATATTAATAGATAATATTTTTTATTATAAAGCTAAATATAGTTATTTATTTATTTTGTATGTACAATATAAATGTCAAATCGAAGCACATTAAGAGATGATTAATTTTATATATTATATATAAGAAATATAATAATATCATAAATTATTAACTTTTAATATATATTTATTATTTTAATTAGTACTTTTTTATTGTTTATAAAAAAATACTAAGGGAAAGAGAAAGATTGAGGAAAAACTTTATACCTCATAAACCACTTATAGAATATGAATGAGATTAAAATATAATTAATGCTTCTAAGAAAGTATCATAAATATACAATATATTTTTTGTTATTTTACGCCTAGTTAATTTTGGATTGGAATTAAATTCAACTCTATCCAAGTCAAATGACAAAACATAAAAATTTGTTATGCCGAGACGTGCAAGTGTGTCACTTAGGCTCAACACATTTAGGAACTGTGAAATTATGCTTCCTACAAAAATAAATGAGCAAATAACTACATAAATAAGTAAAACAAAAGAAATGTCGTACTGAAATGCTGCTATTTGTGCCTAAATTAGTAAACTCACCAATAGTGATTTTAAACCTTTCACATTTATTCAGTTATTTGGTGGATATATATTCAACTCCCTATCATTTATGTGAATTTATCCTTCATAATTGCATACGTTTTTTCTTAGCCTATAAAATAGTGGCTATGATTGTTGTAAGAAAACATATCAACAGCATACAATAAGAATTTAAATGACGTATGCTCTTAATTTTTATATTGACTAATATAATGTGAGTATTAACATTCAACGAATACTCACTGAGACTGCCTGTGAGGCTCTGGGATATATTGGAATTAAAAAGACAAATCTTTTCAGATTATACATCCTTCCCTCAAGTGCTCTCTAGAAACTAGAGCGACCAATTAATGAGACACAAACATTGGGACTGTATTTATTTATAAAAACTTATAAATTGAAATCTATTACTCAATAAATTATGATGCGTAAGACATTTGTAAAGTAATCATAAATTTTTTGTTGGTAGTAAGTCATATATACATTATTAAAAGTCTCATTGTACACAACATTATTAGTTTGATTACTGGGTAATTCATCGTTTCCACAAACTAATATTTTCAGTCACTTCCTATTAGTTGCAAATGAAACCTATTAGTCACTTCTTATTTCTCTCTCTTGCGTGAAACCTAATCCCCAAATCCATCCGCCCGTTTCTTTCTCAATCGTCTCGTCGATTGGCCTTACCCGGTGACTTCTATACTCGGCCAATGGTCGTCTTCAACTGCTCGCTCCACTCATGACTGGCGCTTCTCCATTGTTGCTGTGGATTGTCGGAGATGGGGGGTCGGACTTAGGTTGCAGATGGTTGTCCGATCTATGGTGCGGTTCCTGGTCGGAGGTTGGCCGGCGTTTCAATCGCCGGCAGATCCTCGGTTGGAAGTCGTCGCCTTCGCGCTTTACCTCTGATCTGCAAACTGAGGGCCCCTCTCGAATGGCATCGCCTTTTCCTGTGGAGCTTCGAGTGGAGCTTGACTTCCGGATGCCGGCGGTTTATGGTGGTAAGGTGAGATGTGTGGGTCTGATGTGGTGGTGTGGGACTTTGGCAGCGGCGTGGTGGGGCGGGCCTTTGGCTGAGTCCTTCGTCGGTTTGCCGGAGTTGAGGGAATGCGACTCTCTCTTCCTCCTCTGTCATCTAGTGGTGTTAGGCGGCAGGGATCTGGCTTTCCCGAGCTCGGCTAGTGGTGTTAGACGGGTTCGAGTGGGGCTGGGGGGAGGGTTGTTTCTCTTGGTTGGAGACGGGCCGATTCGGGAATGTCTCGGGGATTGAGTTCACCTGCTGTATAGGCGTTCGTGCAGTTTCGGTAGTGGTTCTCGGGCTCGAGGTTTTCGTTGTGTCGGTCGGTCACTGCTGGTTGAGCTTAGTTCAGATCACTGGGGAAGGGCTCCGTTTTATTTCTTGTTGTTTATTATGTTGTTTATTTGTCTTTGTGTTTGTGTTGTTTGTGTTGATGTGGTTTATGTGTTTTTGGTATGGGCCGTTGGCCCCGGTTCGGCCTGAGTGTAGCCTTTATTCTCCTGTTGGGAGCTTACACTCAGGTATTACCCTGTTGGGGTCCTTTATGTATTGTCTTGTTGTGTTTCTAGGTTCAGTTGGTGTCGTAGTGTGCTCGTATTGCTAGCGTTGCTAGCTGGTATTCCGTCTAGGTTACATTGGTTATGGGTGTAACCTCTCATCTTCCGGGCTGTACATTACCTTTTGGGGTTTTTTTATGAGATATTTTATGCCGTTTGAAAAAAAAAAAAAAAACAACAACATATAATTGACTGTGAGTACAAATCGATTTCTTCAAGAACAACTATATGCGATAAAGACTAACCCTGACAACATGTGTTTTTGTATTTTCGTGTAAGTTGCTTTTATCGTATGAGTTTGATTGAATATTTATAAGTCCCACATTCGTGTCAAAGCAAAAAATATGGTATAAAATTAAAGTGATAATATTTCTTGATGTGGTAAATATTTTTTACAATGATGAGCATACTATGATACAAAATTGGACATTGTCAGATCATGATGAGCATAAATGATACAATAACGCAAACATATTTACAAAATTTCATTTTTTTATTAGTTTTGTTTATATGTCACTTAGAAAATGATGATATAACAATTTCTATACGTGTGTGCATATATTGAACGTTATATGAAAAATATATATTTTAACATTAAGAATTATGAAGCTTAATTTGTGAAAATTCAACGATTATCTAACGATCTGAATCGGTTATGATTTTATATTTAATTGGATGACTTTTAATCTGATTGAGATATAAATTTTATAAAGATAAAATAAAATATACAAATTAAATGAGATTTGTGTATATAAAGAATTCTTGTACCACAAAAACATGTTACCATAAAAACACTGGTTTACCTTAAAAAAATGATTTTGACAAAATCAATACAAATAGAATCCCTTTTTTCATGAATCCTCTTTCCTATGCAATTAATGTTTTTTTTTTTTTTTTGGTTTTGTATTTANGAAATTTATCCCGCACACCACCAGAAGCAATTTTAATTGTACATATACGAACTGTACTTTTTTATTTGCAATTATGCTAACATCCTACTTTTTATTTGGAATTATACCACATTCTTTATCCAACACCCTATCTTCCTCTTTTTCTTTCCGTCAATTCTTTATCTCTTTCTTATCTCTTCTTCTTCTTCTTCTTCTTTTCATCAATTTGCAGACACCTATAACTTCCCAAATCCAAAATCAAACAGCCCCACTCAAAATTCTTGTCAAAAACAATAAAATTTGTCACCATTTTCTTGTATTCCCATCCCAATTTTGAAGATCTTGACGGTGGACGATGCCTTGGTGGCGGTCAGAGGAGCGATGACCAGTAGGTGAAAGCAGCGCGGACTGACTTCAATCTCCCGAACTGAGGTCGCACAGTGACCAATGGGTGGTCGGAGGTCGTCTTGTGTAGAGACTCAAAAGGCGGAGAATCAGAACACTGGCGGTGGTGCGGCGAGGTCAGTGGGGGGTAAGCCTGATAATGAAATTATGAAAGCCCGCATTTAGGTTTGAAGTAGTAACAAATGCTCAGATCAAACACGTGGCAATCGAACCTCAGATCTGGTCACTAACGAGAGACGACCATGAGCAGAGAGGAAGACAAGCGGGCTGGCGGATTTCGGTTGAGGGCGGCCAAGCCACGTCTGACAACCCGACGCCTGGATCTGGTGTTGTGACAAAACCGGACAACTCATATAATATATTGTCAGTATATGTTCGGTATATATTCTGTATATAATGACTATATATATATTTTTTTTCTGTATATCTTATGTTTGTCTTCTGTATATAATGACTATATATTTAGTATATTTTTGGTATATAATGCGTTTTTAGTTTTCTTTTATCTTCTGTATGTCTTTAGTATATAATAACTATATATTCAGTATATATTCTGTATACGATGCATTTTGGTTCTCCTTTATCCAGTGGGATTAGGGTTCGATTTTCCCAATCGAGAGGCGAACCACCTAAAAAAAATGGGGAAAAAATCGGGGAGGAAGAAAAAAATTAAAGATTGTGGAAAGATAAAAAGAAACAGGGGAAGAAATAGGGGAAGAAGAAAAAAAATATTAAAGAGAGAGGAAAGAGAAAAATAATGTGGTGTGTTTAAAGAGAGAGAAAAGAGAAAAAATGTGTCATATTTAAAGATAGTGGAAAGAGAAAAAAACGTGATGTTCGTAGATGTGCAAATTAAATTTGAATGTAGTATATTTATAATTATTTAACAATCGGATATGTATGTATGTAAATTCCCCTGCAATTTTAGATACAACGGAGTTGGACACTAAAAGCATCCAAAAGCCATACAAAAACATCTATACAAGTCTTTACATTTATTTTTAGGAGGCTCCTAATTACAGCCAAGCACAAAATATCTACAAAACCGTACTTTTACTCCAGACAGCCAACTTCAACACATTTAAGAGGCATAATTGTATTTTTCACAGATACTATGGAGATCAGAATTCACATACTTTAAATTACAAACCAGCCGACTATAGATAAATGTTCCATTTTTACTGATCACCGTTGATTCCTAAGATTCGGACCTTGTGCATATTTGGGAACTTAGCCACGACCAAGATGAGGACAGCAAGTGTGTTAAGGAACAGCATGGGGTGTTCGTAGTCTGTGGTGTGCGAGGCTATTAAGTAGCTGCCAATAGCACGAGGAGAAACTTTTTAAGAAAATAAATAAAAAAAAAAATGACACATAATTTTGAGAATTACAAAACCATCCCTTTAGTTAACATCATTATAGAAGTTGTGTGTGAAATGGGAAAGCATTTGATGATACAGCAAATTCTGTCAAGGGATCAACGGTTGAGGAAAGGACGTTAGATGTCACAACACCTCAAGTGTGGTTTTTCTAATTTTTAGGTTCATCGGGCTTTTCTGTAATTTCTTCAATCGTCGAGATAATGTTGTAATTATTCCCCGAAAAAGAGTTAAATAAATAGTTATTTCACGTAAAATAATCGGGAAACATCAGCCATTAACACAGTATTTCTCATCTTCACAATAAAATCATTAATCGAGTAACCTTCGTAAAGAAAGACGGTATATTTATCAACAACTATTTCCTATGAAACAGCTAACTATGTCTAAAAGACATTTATCGATGACAAGTTGCCCACGTCCTACTATTCTCGCATTCTAAAAATAAATATGATACTAGAAGCATCATTTCAATAAATAGTTTGCTTAACAAATTGAAAAGCCATCCAACAATAAGGTATTTAGGAGTCAGTGGAAACCACCAAGTGTGGTGACTAAGGTAGTTAATAATTCATTAGGGTATCTAAACATCCAATTGGTCCCTGGATAAAACCTACAGGTAACCAGAAAGTAACCAACAACAAAGTCTTTATTCTAATATGTGAGGTAAACTACATGGATCATATCACACCCATCGTTTTCGGCCTAATGTCATACTTCCATTTGATCACGTACCAATTTTTTTCTAATAATAACTACCAAATGTCGAATTCATTCTACAGCCATAGCATAATGTCATACTTCCATTTAATTGCATATCATATATTTTCTAATAATAACTTTCAACTTTCGAATTCATTCTACAGCGAATAGCATAGTAAAGTCACTAATAAGAGAAATGCAATGGGATAGGCAGATTTCAGAACCCAGTGAGACAAATAACACATATTAATAACATTAAGATGAAAAATCATAACACAACATTATCTTCTTGGTGAGGTTTATCAACAGTGTAACACGCATATAACAGGAATAAGAGAGCGATTCAGTGAGGATCACATGAACGAAGGACTTACAGAACCACAGGAACAACTGTGAGGAACTTTCTATTGCGAGTGAGCTGTTTTCCACCATCCATTTGCTCCCACCATGTCAAAGAATTATATATCCCCTGATCATCACCGAAAGGGGTCCCTTTCTTCCAATGGAAGAAATGGTAAGTCACCTATAAAACAACAAAAAGAAATGCCATCATGTTGAAAGAAAACCTTGGATAGGACTAACCATGAGAAAGAATAAAAGAAAACTCATGAAGGATTTCATCTCATAAAAAAGGATACAAATAATGTAAATAACCTCTCAGAAGAAAAGTTTGGCACAAAAGCAAGTGGATTATTCATGCAATGGTATTGGCCATTGGTAACTTGAACCCACAAAACAAATGAGTCATCGATAAGTGCATACTCATAGTGCATATTACTACGCAAGGTATTTTACAGTTTTCTACCCTTGAAACCATATCTAATCGATATCACTATCATTAAAAGCTATTAATTAACACCTACATTTAGAAGTGCCAACTTTTGAGCACATATTTGTCCTTTCTTTTATGCTTTCAGTTACCCCAGCAAACACAAATGCTTAATGATGAAATAAAGGAGTTACTGAACACCATTAAAAGTAAAAGTCAAGATTCAAAAGGTGAGCAATATGATCACCATAAACAACATAATGTTGCAGATGCAGTGATTATCATACTGAAAAGACTAATTTTCATGCATACTCATTCATATGTATATTCCTCCCTGTTAAATTGTAAAAGTACAAACCCTAATAACTACGTAGATTTTTCTTGTGTATAAAAATACATATACATATATAGAGAGCAGATAATGAGGGATATTCTTGACACTTGTTAGAGCAAGGAGGAAGTAAAGAGGTTCCACGGTATCACGATACACAACACAGCCATTAGTACAGCAGATCCCAAGGTCCTAAAAATAGGACCAGCGAATGTCGCACTTCCAATTAAGCTTAAAAAGAAGGGTAAAAGCGGCTAATAAGTAAATAAAGCAGCTGCTAAGAAGTGCATCAGACAGCAAAATCAATGAAAGATTACACACAACATATACAACATACAGGACCTAGCCTGAAAGTTCCAAAACCTACCACCAAATACACTAACAGAAATGAGATACTTCACAAGGATTTGACAAATTTACTAGCCTGGTCAACAGTTAGGTTAGTTCAAGAAGAGTTCTACCACACCCTAAAACCTTCATCAAGCTGTAAATAAGCATAACCATGTAAGAGCTTGCCTATTCAGAAAACCAAGCATTGTGTACCAAGCATAATAATGTACAACAAGCCGTATCGTGTCCATCTACTCTGCTACTGCTAAGTAGCTTTCCCACTTACATAGAGAAGTCTCAAATGAGAATAATCATCTAAGAAATCATCACAAGCAACCAACAAAAATCCAGAATAATGCACTCCCAAGAACACAACAAAGTCCAATTCACAAAAGGCTAACCGAACCAACTACAGTGAATTTCACTAACTTTGATATTTAAAAGTTCAATCGTACTAACATATCACACCAATCCTTCACTAGTTAAGCTGCCATTAAGATTGTTAACTTTTAAACTTGGATTGGCCTCAACCAAACAAGCTGAGAAAAACAAACATAAAAATAATATACAACCAATAACAGAAACGCGCGAGCGCCCCCCAACACACACGCACACACCCAACAGAGGCGATTAATGCACAGAGAGATGAGATATGCGTACAGTATACCAAGAAATGAGACAAATTGACGATTGTCCACGCCATGCCGGGCGTGCAATTAGTAAGGGATAGAACGATGAGCCATGAGAAGAAGAGAATCAATATATAGGTAGTCCAGACCCCCGGATAGGTGAACCACTCGGTGTTCCGGTTCAGATCCGCCGGCGGCTCCATCTTCACGTACAGCTTCCCCATAGTTCTCGAAGCCAGACCCGTTTGATTTTCAACCCGATCCGAATAATTGGTGGGAGCGAAGGGCTCTTTGCACTGCGCGAGCAAAGTGGCTCGATTTTGAGTGTGGTCGAAAATGGCGGAGTAGCGTGCGAAATCGTAAGGCAGTGAATAACTTTATGACGTGTTTACTCTTGTAANTTTTTTTTTTCTTTTTTCTTTTTGTTATTTTTCGGGAAAGTAATTTAAAGGATAAGAACGAAACCAAGTCATTACTTTGTTCACCTGCTCGGTCCAACCGTCCAACCACCCACAATATACTGGGGTTCAATTTTATTTTACATATATTACATATATAATAGATTTAAGTAGTGCAAAAATAGAATACTAGGTTTAGAATACTTGTCAATCAATGAAAATACTCTAATATATTTTTTATATTAAATAAAAAATTAAATTAGAAATAAATGTTGACTGTCCAAGTATGTACTTAGGTCCAAAATAGACTTAAAAATAGATTTTGCTCATTTTTTTTATTGCCACATAAGTTAGACAATGTCCATTTTTAATTGAATTATAACATATTTTTTTATCGACTAAGTATATTTCCTACATGGCATATGATATTTTTTAAAAGACCAAAAGCATTGTAGGTGCTCTAATATCTTGAAAATAGGACTTGAGTCTTGAGGGCAAACATATATTAATTTGGAAATCATTATGAAATCAAACAAAATCAAACAAACAAACAACTTTAACAAATATCATATTTACTATTACAATACTCGTTTATTACATAGGTATTTGTTATGAAACTTATATTTAAAATTGAAAATAATAATAAAAATATTTTAAATTTTTAAATAATTTTTTAAATCACTATAATACTGTATTTAAAATAACAATCATCACTTATAAGGTGTTGCGCAAATTGTCCTCTGGTTCGATTTTACATCACATTCCACAGTCCACAGATTTGAACCGTCTTGACATCCTTGGTGACCTGCAAAACGCCACGCTCAACAATAATGTGACAATAAGGTATTTTGCATGGGTATGTGTGTTGTGTTAACATAAAAAACATGACACCCTTTACTTAGAGTTGTTGATGAAAACCCAAACTCCTAGTCAAGAAAGAGATCTTCAACTATCCATAATTGTAACCAATTAGATTCCCCATCTCTCGGGTCCTAGACGACATAGACTTTCCATACACAAAGGGCTCACGTCCCTTCTTCTGTCGGCAAGTCCAAGGTCGTCCTTGCATCCTCGAGACCTCCTGAGAGCAAGTACGTCGAGGTCATCACCCTATCCTCGACATCTATTGGCCTTCCTCGAATGTCCTCCTTCTAGCCGAGCTACACGATCCCTTGGATCCCAGATCTGCATCCTAATCGGAGCTTCGTTTACGAACTAGATGTCAAAAGCACAACAAAGAAAAATTAAATTTTATACATTCAAGGCAATTGATTGGGGTTGGTTTTAGACTAATATTAACTAAGCACTTGAAAGCAATTTAAATAAAAAGAAAGTTATAAACTTTACTTGTATAGGAGTGTTCAAACCCGCAAAAAGACACAAACAAAGAGAAATATGCTCGATCTAACATAACTAGACACTAAAGTTGAATGATCAACTCCGAAATAATCAACCTTTAATCAAAGTATCAAATTTTACCTCGAAAGATCAAACTTTAACAACCTAATTATTACCCTAGGCAAGCAAAATAAGACAAAAGATATAAATTTTAACTAGAACCGAGCTCAATACATACATTTGGGCCAAGAAACTAATTTTTACCTCTTAACACAAAGTATGCAAAAATCAAGATAATAAGTCCTAAAACTAGGTTCTTACTTCCCTAATGTATTCCCTAGCGAAACAAAAGTGAAAAGATTGGAACTATACTAAGAAAAAGCATCGCCAGAAAAGTCGCTGGAAAATACAAGTTTGAACCTCCACAAACCTATGTCAAGAGAAAAATAAGAGAGAGAGAGAGAGAGAGATTCTTAAAGTGTAAACTAAACAAATGAAGGATTGGTGTCCAAAATACAAAGAGGCAAGAGTATTTATACTCACACCAAAAACACACACCATTACTAAGGAGAACTCCCTGGGTGGCGAAACGGCCTATCGGGACTCGCTGTCACTCGTGTGTCGACGCCTTCGTACTTCACGATAATTATGACAGAAACTCAGATGTTGGTCCTATTTCTATCACGATTTTTCTGTAAAACTGCCACGAATTCTAACACACGAATTTTGTTCTTGAGAATGGTTTTTCTTTTATTTCATTACTTGGATAAAATTGAATGAGTACATATATAGGTATTTAAAGAAAATAAAGACTAATCATATACTACTCCTAGTGGGTATCAAATACCAATCTAATGGAAAGTAAATATCTAAGAGCATCTCCAATGTGACTTTTGACATTGCAAAAAATTATCCATATCATCAACTTTTGAAAGTTTATTACTAATTTATTCTCCAATGCATCTTGTCATTAGCTCTTTCATGATGATGTGGATGACATTTAGTGTTAACAATGTTGAACTCACTTTCTAATATCTAACACCATGTTAAACATGATGACTCATTAATTCACTTTATATTTGGTTTAATTTTTTATTATTCTTGTATTAATGAATTATTATAATTGGTCCACCTATACAAATAAATTCTTATCAAATTGGTGCATTGGAGATACTAGTTTGATTCAAATTTTTAGCCTTTTAACATTATTCTTATGTGGATTAACATTACAATCATCAATTGACATGTGTTAAAAATTATTGCCTTTCAACACCATAGCATTGGAGATGCTCTAATATCCTAAGACTTCCAAAATAATTAAACTCCTAAACTAACTAAATAATCTCTTGTCTAATAATCTAATAAGTCAACAGTTGACTCCATAGTGAAGTCAACCTTCTATATACAATAAGTAATATGGTATGGTTTACTTGTTATATATCGAAAGTTGACTCTACTATGGAGCCAACTGTTAGCTTCATAGCATAACTGCTAGCCCTAAACAAATACATTACCTAACAACTACTAACTCACGGCTAAATAAACTAAGATAATTAAACTAGAAATAATTAATTAATCTAAACTATAAACTAGGAATAATAATTAAACTATTAAACTAACTCACGCCACCTAATTACTAATATACTAAACTAACAAAATCATACTATACTAACAATAACACGGCGAATTAAAACTTATGGCCAAATATATAATAATTAATAAATAACTTTTAGAAACTTGGCGACTCTTGCTCCTCAAGTCACGCCGACCATCACTGGGCTACGACGTGCGCAGGAAAGGGCCTCGGCAATCAGTGCTACTACCGTGTGCCTAAGTACACCTAGCTAGGTGTGCCAGGGCAGTTTAAAATGAACATGTTATGTTACAAAATAACATGTACAAACATGTTCATTTGTGGTACACCTAGCTGGGTGCACCTAGGTGCACCTAAGTATTTGCGCTCGGCAATTGCGGTGATCGAGGACGATTCCCTCGGCCAACTTTGCATATTTGGCGAACTTTGCATATAGTTTGATGAGGAAAATGTCTTGATGCACGAGAAAAAAATGACCGAATCGTGAGATGTGCAAGAGAGATGCATACGGGCTGCGGGATGTGCGCGGATTCTGGAAGGGTCTCGACAACGGGTTCTGGAAGAGATGCATACTATTTTGCATGTTTTTACGTGTTATATTTGTGTTATTTTTACGTGTCATAACACGTAAAAACATGCAAAATAGTAGATCAAAGATGTATAGTTCCAAATTTGTTTCTGAGTGGGTGCTAAATAGAATTTTGACTTGGAAGAACACTTTTTTCAGTGAGGCAGGAATCGAAGTCCTTATTAAGTCTGTCTTAGAAGCTCTGTCCACTTTTGTCATGTTTTGTTTTAAGTTACCTATTTCAGTGTGTAGGGGTTATTCGCAATGAAGCAGCTAGTTGTTGGTGGGGGAAAGAATGAGGCAGGGGGAGATAAAATTCACTGGGCTAGTTATTTAGAATTCTAAGGGGATTTAATGATGCTCTAATAGTGAAACAACTGTGAAAAACCATTTCTCAGCTAAACTTATTAATGAGTAAGCTGATGAAGGGAAGGTAATTTTTTAGAAAAAAAAAATGTTAGAAATTAAGCCTAAAAATGGGGATTCTTGGCTTTGGAGGATCTGATTAGGAGCTAGAGAGTTTTTGAGGATGGGGTGTATATATGAGGTTGATGATGAAAAATTGATCCACATTTGGGATTCCCCTTGGCTGCCTAACAATTCTTCTTTCAAGCCTTTGTGTCAGTTTGAGTCAGACCAAAACAGACTTCGATGGGTTTGTGATCTTATGATACAAGGGAGAAGAGAATGGGACAGAGACCTCATTTAGCAAACTTTCAACCCTTTGGATGGAAAATTGATTTTGCAAATTCCTCTCACTCATTGTTGACAGAAAGACAAGCTGATATGGCAATATCACAAGAAAAGTTCGTTCTCAGTCAAATCATCATAAAGCCATCATCTCAAGAGCTATGAAAGTTCGGGAGCCTGTTGAATCCAGTAGAGGGTCCAGGAGCAGTCAGGGGATGTGGAGATTCACTTGAAAACTACCAATCAAAAGCACGGTTAAAAATTTTATTTGGAGATGTTGGTTCAATTTTCTAAGTTCAAAGAACCAGTTGAAGAAGAAAGGTGTAGAAGTAGATAATCTTTGGGATATTTGTGGAGAGGAAGAGGAGGACTTAGAACATTTACTCTTTAGGTGTTCTAGAGCTAAGGTGTGTTGGATACTTTAATCATTTTGGATTGGAGGCGGTGTTCGTGATCTTATTACTAGTTGTTTTCCCAACAAAATCATTTTATACTAAACATAAGATTTTATTTCTTGATTTTACCTTTTCAATTTTATCCTCATTAAATATTCACAAGTGTTACTTCTCATCCTAAAAAGGGTGTAGGGTTAGTTGATACAAAGTTCAATTTATGTACCTCAAGTAATTTAGGAATTTAAATTCTACTCCACGCCAATTCCCTTGTAACCAAAAAACAAAAGCAAGTGCTTGCCTAGGAAAAAAAATGTTGATTTATCATAATGCATAATATACTCTACAAATATTTAAGCAAACTTAATGTCGGGAGGAGTATGCGATCTTGAGAAATGCTATAGGTACATAATATTATATATAAGGGTGTATAGAATACTCACATTGAATGGAACCTACAAAAAATAAAAAATCAAGTAGACAACACTCCATGTGAGTGTTATGTATACCTCTATTTATATTTATTATGTACTTGTAGCATTTTCCATGCGTATCTTTGTGCTGTGTTATTACTATCTTATGCATATCATAAGAATCAGTATAAATTTGATCAAAAGAACCAATATAATCAAGTGGTCAAAATAATTGATATAATTTGCTAACATTTGAGGTGACTGATATAACATTAGCACAACCTACTAATGTAATTATTTGATCAAAACAACAAATATAATCATATGGCCAAAACAACTAATATAATCTACTAACATTTGATGTCAAAGAAGGTCAAAACAAGTGACATAATATAATCCCCTTACACAATAGCCTATAATAATAGGCAACTTTGAGAGCAATCACATGCCCTGCTGCGTGCGTGTGTGGAGTGCTACTGTTAGCATCCATTGAAGGAGAGTTGTACACGTATGAAATAGCATGTGACATAGGTGCTCAAGGAAAGATTATACAGACAAATCAAACATATCATGAGATAATACTATGAAACTATTGTTCAGGTTTTTAGACTCATTTTGAATAATTGAGTCATACAAAATACCTTTAATCTTCAAAGAAGAGAGATATCTGAAAAACAAAGTATCACACAACCTTCAAACAGAACCAATCTCTATCATTGTCAACGTAACAACTCAGATCATCCATCACAAACAAGCATCAGTCTGCATAAAAGTATATGTGAACCGCAAATCTTGACGATTAATTCGCCAACCATCCTCTCACATTCCATTCAGAAAATCTCAAGTAAATAGTAAGACGGATAAAACAAAAACAAATCCAGAGGACCATAACTCAACATCAAAATTTCTCAATACAGAATGAAAGCAATAACAAGACCATATAACTAAGTAACAGCTTGTCAGTGTTTCTAGTTCTCCTTCCACGTGCTTTTACACTTGGTGCACCTGTAGAATATTGTCATAGGCTCGTCGGCTGACCTGGTCTGAACTTCGATATAAGAAGCTTCCCCATGACCACAGGCAGGGCAGGACACCCCTACACACAGAGAAGTA